GATTTCTTAGAGAGAAAAAGGGAGGGAGAGAGAGAAACATTGATTTGTTCCACTTATTTTTGCATTCATTGGTTGATTCTTGTATGTGCCCTGACCAGGGATTGAACCCACAACCTTGGTGTATCGGGACAATGTTCTAACCAGCTGAGCTACCCAGCCAGGGTCCGTTCTAGTCTTTTCAGTTTCCGTAAGTTTTAGGATCAGCTTGTCAATGTCTCCAGATAGGAATTGCATTTATTCCGTAGATCAGTTTAGGAAGAATTGCCATTTTAACAGTATCAGGTCTTTCAATTCATGCATGTTATATCTCTCCGTAAAGGGTGAGGTCTTTAATTTCTCTCAACAGTGTTTTGTAGTTTTTAATGTACTTTTGTTAAATTCATTTCTAAGTATTTTATTCTTTTTGATGCTCTTATGAATGGAATTTAATTTAATTCACTTGCTTATTAGTATATCAAAATGAAATTATTTTTATGTATTGATCTTGTATCTTACAATCTTTCTAAACCTGCGTATTTTAGTAGGTTTTGTATAGATTTCTTAGGAATTTCTATATGCAAGATAAGATCATACTCCTGAAGGTAAAGACAGTTTTACTTCTTCCTTTGCAGTCTATGTGGCTTTGATTTCTTTTTCTTGCCTTGTTTCACTGGGAATACTTCTGGCACAACGTTGAATAGAAATGAGGAGAGCAGACATCCTTGCCTTGTTCCCAGCCTTAGAGCGAAGGCATCTAGGGTTTCACTATTAAGTGTGACGTTCGTTGTTTCTCCGATCTTATGTCATGTCCCTATCAGATTTTTAGTATTTCCTTACTTTTTACGGCATATTTCAGGCTCATCTGGTGTTTTTCCTTCCCCAAAGTTCTTCCAGATCTTTGTTTTTTCATTAACCTATTAAAAAACATCTTGAGAGCTTTTTTCAGAGCAACTTTTTTCCCCAAAAACTCTTTCCTTAGCTGCTCTAACCTTTCTTTTCAATTGGACATTTTCCTGTTTGGATGTTGAGGAATTTAGCGAGAAACAGGCCTGTTTATTCTAAACTTGAACTCTTGTACCCCTATTTGCTCTTCTGTTTCCTAGGGATGTGTAGGAGCAAGAAAGGTGTAAGCTTAGTCGCTCTTTAAAATATGTTAGATTATTCAAAATATTATTTGCCAGATGAGGTCAGTTTATTTGCTCTTAAAATAAGTTCCTTGTAAGCTGTTTCCTGGAGGGTCAACGAATGGTGGGCCCTCTGGACTTAGAGCAAGCAGGAATGCCTTCGTTTATCCCTAAGTAGTGGATGTATGTGGCTAAAAAAAGGTATGTGGGCTGAATGAAAATAATGGAGCTTGTGAATCCTTTCAGTTTACATCATTACCAATTATTATAAGTTTAGATTTGCTTAAATTGGATGTTTCTGAAATAAAGCTTTCATTAGTGGCCTGTGTGAGGCCTTCAACAAATACGAATACCTTTTCTCCTTGTTCTTGTCCCCTAGGAGGCGGGAACCTGTCACTTCGGTTCTGAAGGCGCACACACAGACATAGCACGTTTGTGTCGTCTCGGTGCCCATGGTAAAAGCTGGGAGAAGGGTCTCACAGCCACTGTGTCAGAGCCCTGTGTCCACTGCAGGGGGCAGGTTTTACGACCTTGCAGAAGAACTGCCTTCTGAGTGTGTGCTGGCTATGGGACCTGGGTGCCAGACGTGATGTGCTCATCTGGACCTTGATTTTATGGCAGAAACCACCATTCTTAATGTATTAGATTTTAAAACTATTTTCTCACTTCTTCTACTTTTATATTTTGGGCCTTCTAAAGCTTTTTGAAATTGGTCACTGCATTGGCGACGTGGTCATTTCCTGGCACTTGAGTGGCAGTGCTGTTGAGGGCAGGGTGCAGGAAAAGGTGACCTGTGGCAGCAGTCAGTGGGCCCTCGACATTCTAACTAGGTCTCTGCTTCCTCCTCACGTGGACTTTTGGTTTCATTAGGAATCTCTGAGGAGAAAGGTGAGAGTTGCTTTTAGCAACCATCCTTCCCTTGTCTACAAATACTAATTCTGAACCAAAAATAGCGATGCCAGATTGGAGCGTTTATATGTGATACTGTTGACTTCGTGTTCTTGAAGCTACTCACTGCAGAATGTCTGACAGATTTGTCTTTGCTTGGCAATTCCTGACGCAGCCATCTTAGCCAACTCTGGGTGTCTCTTATTAGCTGTGGAGCTATTTCTCAAAAAGAGATTTACAGAAATGTCTTCTTACCTGCTTGTCCATATATGCGTCTCTGGGAAGGCAGGTGGCCTTTTCCCAGGTTGCCACCCAGCTCATCATGGGGACAATGAGAGGGAACAAGGAGTGGGAAATGGCCATTGCAAAGACACCTGAGATCTGGAATTCTGTAGAGAGAAGAGAATCCACTTTACTCTGGCACTTGCCCGGCTGACCTATGTAACATTCTACCTGGAAGCAGGCCACCCACAGCTTTGCCTTCCTCTTCCTCATTTGTGTCAGGGGTTAAGTCAACTAGATGCCAAGCTAATTGTATTCGGTGTTCCTGGCACTGAGGATGCGTAGGGTTCACTGCAGAGAGGTGGGCCTCTTCCCCCAGCTCTGGGTGGTGTGCAGTGGGCACCCGGGGCCATGAGGGAGGGGGGTTGGCTGTGGTGTGGTGAGGATGCAGTGGGCGCGCTCGGCCACTGCGCCCATGGAGGCGCTCAGCATCAACAGTGCAACGGCGTTTCCAACCTGGCTTTTGTCTTACCCAGAAGCTTAAGGATGATTGAGGGGATAGTGCCGGAGTGTGTGTTTTCATTCCTATTTAAGAGGCATTGTGGAGTCAGGCAAACTGGAGTTTTAATCTAGGCAACACTAATTGGTTGTTTAATTATAGAAGAGTTACTTAGCTTTTCTGAGTCTCAGATTCATCATCACTAAAGAGAATGTGAGGTATCTGTGAAGATTAAATGAGATAATACAGGCAAAATGCCTAGCACCTGATACCTAGCATTTGTTAGGTGTCCGGATGAGTGTTCACTGGTGCTAGTGTTTTCCTCCTTCATTTACTGTACCTTTTCAGTTTATTCATTCAACAGAGTATTGAGCATTTACTGTACGCCGACCCTGTACTGGGACATCAGCTGGAGGGTGTGCTTCTCGGTAGATGAGTAGTCCATAATTAAAGCTCAGCACAGTAAAAACAGTGACGATGGCACACACAGAGATGAGACGTTCCGTTTGAACCAGGGAGTCCAGGAAGGCTACCTGGAGAAGGTGATATTCAAGAGGAAAGGGCTCCAGGAAGCGGCCCTAGAAAGGACATGAAGATCTGTGATAACAGAATGTACATGAGGAACCACAAGTGTGGTATTTTTCAGGTACTATCTGCGTGAAGCTTCATTTTCTTAACCCCTTTCTCCCGTCACTCTGGTGTGTCTGTCGTGTTACATCGGTGGGGCAAGATGTGGAGTCCTGAGAGGGCAGCGTGAGCTGGGACTGTGAGTCTGTTGAACGTACACAACCTACGCTCTCCTGTGTGTTCTAGCAAAGCCACCGGCAGGCTTGGCTCCTTCCTTTGTGTTTATTCTCCACTCTACGTGCGTGGAATGTAATTGTTCCCTGCACGGTGTTTCCAGAGTTCAGACTTGGTGGAGGGCTTTTTCCTGTGACCTTAATTTGAGGTCACAGGCATCAAAGTCTGGTTGTAGCATTTATGCTGTGTTTAGCCCTCTCTTGTTTCCTGTGTCAGCAGTGCTGAGCTGTGGGGTCTGTGTTGTACTTAGGGCAGACTTGTAGGCAAAGAGGGCGATGTCTGCAGCTCTTTGTTGGCAGATGCCACCCAGCAGTTCCCGTGGCTGTAAAGTGCAATCATGGATCTTCCTTTGCCATTGTTCTCTTATCAGAATACAAGGTCCTCTCCCTGTTGAAGTCTGTATATTTTTATATTTCAGTTTTTTAAATATTTATTGATTTTATGGGGATGACCTGAAGTTTGTGTTTTAAATGTAACTTGAACAAAAACATTATCTGTGAATTCCTTCCCTCTGGCCACTCTGAAAATACTTGGGGAGGCAGGCTCCCAATCAGAATGATCCTGGTTGAAGGACTTCTTATAGAGGGCCTTGTTCTCCCCACCCCCACCCCCATCCCCAAGATGCTTCCGTGAAAGTAGGCCCACCTTTCCTGTAGATGTGAAAACTGGAGAATATTTTGTGCTTGTGATTTAGAAAGTAAGTGGCCAGGCTGAGTAGTCTGTTTGGAACCCAGAACTGCTGGCTGTGTCAGAGAGTTTGCCTTAGCAGAAACATTGAGCAAACGTGTGCGACGGGCTCTTCATCCCTGGGGTCAGCCCAGACCGAAGCCTGGGACCGGCAGCAAAGAAAGCTCCTGGCCTCTTCTTGCCTCTCTGCTCTGCTCTCTGCACTCTCCTGACCTGTTGTGGTTGCTGTGGAGAAAGTCATTTAGAGTGAAAACAGTGTTGGTGTCTGCTTCCATTTCGTTTCTTCTCTTTACCACGGACACGTGGATGGAATGTAAGTCTGTACAGTTGACAAGACGCTTGCAGAGGTGAAACTGCTGCCTCAGCTCCAGACGAACGCCAGGGCGGCAGGGGAATCCTCTGCCCGTATCTGAACTTGCCACTCTTAACCACAAAGAACAGACTGCACCAGGGGCTGCTGACAGTTGGTCAGGGAGCAGTATGTGTAAAATCTGTTTCTGGAGTGATCTTTGACCTTTCCGAATTGGTTGGTGAGGAGGAAGGTATTGGCGTGTGTCTCTGCCACCCCCAGAGTCGTCTTATTCCTAGCCACACTGGTGATAGGTGAGGGAAGGAAGCCACTCTTGTAAAGTCGTGGTTGGGGAGAGAGGAGGTGGGTGTTTTGTTGTTGTTTTTGGTTTCTTTGAGGAGAGAGGAAAGAGCTCTCTGAGTGGGAGAGTGGCAACACATGAGCAGACTCACGGTGATGGGCCTTAACGTCCCAGTCCTTGGGATTTCACCAGTCCCAACCCTGTCACCAGGTTTGATCACAGCGAGGACAGCAGGAAAACCGCTGAAAACACCCTAGGACTCCAGTGTTCTTCTCTCAGAGCCCCAGAGGATGACCAAAACAGATCACCCAAGAAACAGCGAGGTGGAACTGTTGCTTCCTGGAGGACCACTGTAGCGGCAGCGGGTCTGCCCCCCTGGCTCTGTCCCATTCCCAGTCGTCTCTCTCCCCTCAGGCTGACGGACTTCAAGGATGCAGCCGCTGCCTTTGGAGATGTGTGGCACCGCACCTGAGCTGGGCCATGAGGTCATGCGGCCGTGAGGTGGGCCCCTCATGGCCTCAACAGGAACAGAGCACCTACAGTATTGGTCTCCGCCAGGGAAACGGCTTTAAACAGAGCGGTCCCTCGGGCACAGTGCCTGCCCTGCCACCCGAGAAACCCTCTGAGGGCAAGGCCTGGTCTCAGGCTCAGCGACAGGTTAAGCCAGTCTGGAACCTGGAGAAGAAGCACGTGGGGACCCTTTCAGCAAGGTTAAGCCCACGCCTTTTGGGTGTCTCACCCCAGCCAGCGTATTTCTTTTGCCCCAGAACTTCATGTAGCTCTGGGACCACAGCTGCCCTTACAGGCCATCGCAGCTCCTGGTACCAGCCTTCTCTGTGGGTACCCGGCTTGTTCAGCAATACCCTGCTGTACCGCCGCTCCAGCTGGGGGCACAGAACTTATCGGCATCTGCAGTCTTTCTGCTTACATTCAAGCCCATCAGAAAAAAGACCTTTTCCTTTCCCTCAAAAGCACCTTCCTGTCAGACTCACTGCCAATAAAGCCACTTCTTTACCAGTCTCCGCCATGGCCCAGTCCATGGCATCCTGCCCCGCAGACCCATACCTCTCACTGGGAGCAGCAGGGGAAAACCATTCAGGGAAGAGACTGGCCTCTGCCATCTCAGGGAAGATGCTATCTCCACTCTCCTCCTCTTCCTACAAGCCTGTGCTAAGTAACAACTCCTTCATGCGGCCAAATAGCACTAAAGTGCCTTTCTCACAGGCCACAGAGGGCCTAAAGCCAGTATCCTCACCCAAGATCCAGCTTGTCTCCTGGAATCACGCAGGGGGCACTGGAGACTGTGTTCTCCAGCCTACTGAGCACAAGGTACCCAAGAGCAATGGCATTGTCCTACATGGTGCCCTCGCGCACGGCCCCCTGCCGACCCCTGGCTCCTTAGACACTTCCACCACCAGTGTTGCCTCCCCCCAGCACAACCAGGGTAACATAGCCGTGAAGGTAAAGCCACGTCCCTGTGGCCTGGATGGCGACTCTGTCCCTCAGCTTCTAACCAAGGAGGTTCAATTCACTGAGGCTGTGAGGAAGTTCAATACAAGTGGCTTTGAGAAGCTGAGGCCAGGCTACCAGTTTGAATCATCTGGCTCAGTGAACCCCAGCTTGCAGTGGAGTCTCCTCAACAGGAACAGTCGGTGGAAACCTCCCGTGGTGGGCCAGCAGCTGCCTCCGGAGGGTGCTGGGGCAGCCAGGGTCCTCCCTGGAACCTCGGACACCTTGCAGTTGGACAGTACAGTCATTTGTACCAAACGCATCAGCATTCACCTCCTTGCCTCACACAAAGGCGGGCTCAGCCGCAGCCCTGCCCATGGTTCTGTGATCGACTCCTCACCACTTGGAGAAGACAAAACACCAGTTCTGCCTTGTCCCCGCCAGCCCTTTGGCTTAGCTGATGTGGCCACCCGCCTCTCTTCCATCCATCTGGGCCACCTTGGGAAGGAGGGGCCTAAAGAAGCCAGGGAGCTAGACTCACCTGCTAAGGATATTGGGTAAGTTGGAGAGAGTTTTTTGTTCATTTAGATCAGTAAAATGCATATACCAAAATTTGCTGACACCAACCCAGTGTCTCTGAAGGTTGGTTCTATTTTTTAGCTGCCCAGAATTATGACTTTCACTTTAGGACAGAGGTCAGCAAACCACAGCCTTCAGGCCAAATCCCGCACACTGCCTGCTTCCGTAAGGTTTTACTGAAACGCAGCCTGACCCGTTGAGTTAATGTTGTCTGCGGCAGCTCCCTGTTGCAGTGATAGGGCTGACTAGTTGTGACAGACTGAGTGGCCCCAAAGCTGAAAATATTTACTGTCTGGTCCTTCAGAGGGAGAGTTTGCTGACCCCTACTCTGATTATAGCCAGGGAGAAAAAATAAAAATCCCAAACCTCACAAGTTGGCGTCTGTGACTTTTCTACTTGATTCCAAACCAAATCAGGTTGTCAGTCGTTCCTGGTAGGACAGCCCAGAGGTGGGACATGCACGTATGTACCTGGTTTCTTCTCCTGGCTCCCTGTCAACTGCCTTGGTTCACCGAGGCCTGCCTTGTTCTGAGTTCCCAGACAGCAGCCTAGGGACTTCGAAGTCCACTACCAAACATTCATGGATGGTGTTTGGGATGCACAGTTTTGGACTTATATGCCTTGAGGGACTTCAAAGAAGACAAAAGATATAGTGCCTCTCTGCAGAATGGGGGCTGTAGGGTTGAGGAACCATTATGGCCAGGCCTAAGCTCTGAGGACAAGAGAAGTGAAGTGTGAGATTCAGGCAAGAGACAGCAGGTTGGTGACTGGGGAAGAGACGAACAGTGGGGGATGATGAAACAGTGGGGTGACGAAGCAGTGAGAATCTATCTGTGACCTCTGTTATGGAATTGACTGGGCTGGGGGCATGATGCTTTCTTATAGTTCAGCTGCTGACCTCCAGCTAGACCAGGTTGAGGTTGAAGATCTAGAAGAAGAGCTGGTGGATGGTTTGGAAGACTGCTGTAGCCATGATGAAAATGAAGAGGAGGAAAGTAAGTAGGGGACCCTCTCACATCCAACTGGGCATTGGTCACCACCCACTAGGGAAGGGGGCTAACAGTTGTTACCAGTGGGTCTTTGACCCACTTTACCACCTGCATTCTTCATTTGCCTTGGGGATCCAAGGGTGGTGGGTAGTGGCTTTTGAGGGACTTGGTTCTCTAGTCCTCCTGCCCCACCAGTCTTGCCTTCTCCCCGCTGCTGTCGAGCTCGAGGAAGGCAGTGCAGGGCAGCAGGGTGGTGCTTGTGGCTCTGCAGGAAGGCTGAGCCAGTATGTCCAGGGAAGGGCCACCTGGGCTTGGTGGGTGTGTGTCGCAGCCTCTCCCATTTACAACCTCTCTGCTTCCCCCAACCTCCAGGAGAGTCGGAGCGCTCCTCCTTCAGTTCCGTCTCCTCCAGCGAGTCGGTAGCTGTGATCTCTCGGTGAGTGCTGGTTGTGTAGATCACTGGTAGATGCTCATTTTCTGTCTCTTTTAAGATTATAAAGAGATTAACCACCTAAGTCATCAGTGGCCCTGTTGACCTTCACTCATTTTTACCACATTTTTACATTTAGGACTTTAATGTTCAAATAAGGAGCAATGGAAGGCACCAGAAACATTTTGTCAACTGGACTTAAGAACAGTACCATGTTTCTTAGGCTACGATTCAGTCTTTAGGCTCCAAGAAATTGCTCATGTAAAAAGCAAATAATTCCAAAAAGTGGTTAGAAAGTGAATAATTAATGAAGAAACAGTGTTTGAGGTAAATTACTAGTTGGGCCACCCACGTGAGGACAGTTGCCACCTCGCGTTATACACGTGCTCCACTGTCAGAAGCAGCCCGAGACACACTTAACCACGGATTGCAGCCTTTGGAAATGCTCCCTTTGCTGCTTTCCGAGGTTAGTTTTGCATTGGGAAATAAGACTGGCATTGGCCTTAATAATAACAGGTTGAATTAAAAATTCTCCAGCTTTAATCCAGCTTTTTATCGACCGCCCTTGGTGGAGTCCCAGTGACACCGGTCTGCCTCTGACTAGGGGACCAGAAAGCTGCTCTTTAACGCAGACCCTTCTTTGGTGAAACAGGTAGCGGCAGGTGTTGCATCCAGTTGAGATGGGGCGTTAGGGGAGAGGAGGGCGTGCAGGACTGTTAGGGCATATCACTGGGCTCAAGATTTTTAGAACTTGCTACAGGATCGTACACACTACCTTTCAGGGTAGGAAGTTAACATTCTTCAGCAGCATCTCCTTTGTTCCCCTTACCACTTCCAACACTGTCTCTCAGTACGAGGCTCTGTCATCAATTATATTGTGTTGTTAAATATTTAAAAGACCCCCCCACCAGAGTATTGCATTGGCCAAAAAGTTTGTATGGTTTTTTCCATAAAATAAGAGACACGTTTTTCATTTTTCCAATAGCTTTACTGATTTGGATATTCTGAGTTATGTCAGCTATCTCACACATGGTAGAAGGTTGATTGGTTTGATCGCTGTCAGCCTCAGCTGGTCTGCCCAATCAGTGTTGTCCAGCGAGAAGTCTCCAGCGCGAAACGTCACAAACTGCTTTTGACATGTTTGATCAGTGCACAAATCTGTTTTGTTTTGGTTTTTTTTGCAGTTTCAGGTGCGTTTTTTCCTTTCTTGAAATAATAAAGCATAATGTGCTGAAAATGTTGTGTATATTCTTCTATCTTCAGTGTTAAAATGGTGACATAAAAATGCACCAATTTTGATGTTTTGGGTTTTTGTTTTAATACATGCTGATATGACAGCTGTCAAAATACAATCTAACAAAATTGTTTCAAATGAAGTTAAAGACAACTAAGCACTACTAGAGCTGTCTTACAGAAAAAAAACAAAAGAACTTTTTGGTCAACCTATACTAAACATTAAAGGTTTTTTTTTTCTCTTTAAAAATAACTTCTACTGAAAATATAAAAGTATATGTGTGTGTATGTGTGTGTGTGTATTTTTTTCTTGTGTGTGTGTATGCATAATTGATGAGTTCATTTTATTTTATTTTTAATTAAAAATTTCCATTCTGGCTTTAAGAAATTCAGCCACATGTATTGAGGCTTGCTTATTAACATGGGAGCATCCAGGCTCAGGTTGTCTCTCTGTGTGTCAGCTGGGCCTTAGATGAAGCTAAGAGTGGAAGTAGCTTTTCATGCCTTGGTTAGTATGGACAAAGCAAGCTGCATCTCTGAATATGACAGTGGCAGCAGCTCTGCCAATCATAGAGCCCCAAACCAGCAAGGAGGAGAGAGCTGTTGGGAAAGTGGAGAGACAGAGTTGGAATTTCTGTGAAGGTTGCTAGAAATCCTGTCACAGGTACCTTGTCTCTGGTGCGTCATTTCTGTTACTTTCAGCCTAACCCATCCTCCTTTCAGAAAAGCAAAGGTGCTTCTACTTGGATGTACTGGATGTTGACTAAGCACCTCCACTCTCTATAAGAGAAAGACATCTAACATGTAATTGAATTGACTTGGAGTTCCACCTTTTTCATGCTTAAGGGTGATTTAGGTTTGAGTTTTCAGGCCACTTCGAATCAGCTGCATAGTCTCTCATTTAACCTCTCTGATTTTATAAGATGAAATTCACAAAAGGTGTTGGTTAGTAATTTGTTCATTCATTAATTTAACTCCTACAAAATGCACAGAACTTCTTATTTATTTGAGGCTTAAAACATTATTTATCTGAGGCTTTTCAGACACGTGGAGGTTGAGGAATTCCAGCCACTTTGCATTTTAAGGATGACTAAAATCAGAAATGCTTTTGGATTGTTAAAATCTTATTTTTCTTTATGAAAAATGTACTTTTTTACAATATTATAGAATATTTGGCAATTACAGGAAGATCATTGAAAATATTGCTGCTTTTTCTCTAGCCAGTAATAGTTTATTGCATTTCTAGTTCCATATTTGTTTTTGTAAGAATCGTGTAACTTTAGAGATGGAGGTCATCAAGGCCAGCCTCTTTTCTCAGATGTCAAAGTCAAGGACCAGAGACATTAAGTATCTTGCAAGGTCATGGTTTGCAGCACTGCTGGACCAGAAGCCAAGTCTCTTGAGGACAAGTCCAATACACTTGAGAGGCAGCTAACAAAAAATTTCTGTCTTTTTATTATTAAACTTTTGATTTTGAGACTATTGTAGATTAATATGCAGTTAAAAGAAATAATTAGTAGAGATCCCAGAATTCTTTACGCAGTTTCCCCCATGGGAACCTCTTGCAAAACCATGGTATATTGTACAACCAAGACGTTAGTCAAGATGCATTTCCATTACTGCGAGAATCCCTGCCGGTGCTCCAATAGCCACACCTGTTTTCCTCCTACTCCATCCCCTCTTAGCCCCTGGCAACCACTAATTTGTCCCATAATTTTGTCATTTCAAGAATGTCACACAAATGAAACCTTTGGCCTTGGCTTTTTTTACTCAGCACATTCTGTGCCCCAGGTTGTTGCACGTGCCAATGGTTTGTTCCTTCTCATTGCCGAGCAGTATCCCGTGGTTCGGGCACAACCAGCTCGTTTGACCATTCACCTGTTGAAGGCTGTTTGGATTGTTTCAAGTTTTAGGCTATTATAAATAAACCGTCATGTACATATCTTTGCATGAACATCAGTCTTCATCTCTCTAAGATAAATGCCCAGGAGTGCATGTGTAGCTTTTTAAGAAACTGCCAAAATGTTTTCATTTTACATCCCTTTCTTTGCTTTTTATTTTTCAGTCATGGTTGACTTACACTATTGTCTGATTTCAGTTGTCTTAGTTTTTAAATTAACTCATTCTCCTTAGTGTTCAGATCTTAAGTCCTGATAGTAAATTAAAAGCCTTTTAAGCAAAATATTTTGGAAATGAGGAAGAGTTGAATTAATTGACATTATTTAATTGGGAGTTAATATTTAACTTGACACAGTACAGTTCACTAAAAACCTCTAAGGTTTAAAAGGCTCATGTTTTACATAACAGTGCCCACTTCTGTTGTGTTGCAGAATATAAGGTAGAATGGCTTTTTATAAACTAAGTAGTTTATACATTTTTTAAAAAGATTTTATTTATTTATTTTTAGAGAGAGGGGAAGGGAGGGAGAAAGAGAAGGATAGAAACATCAGTGTGTGGTTGCCTCTTATGTGGCCCCCACTGGGGACCTGGCCCGCAACCCAGGCGTGTGCCCTGACTGGGAATCGAACTGGCGACCCTTTGGGTTCACAGGCCAGGACTCAATCCACTGAACCACACCAGCCAGGGCTATAAATCTTAAATAGTAATATTTGTGGATCATATCAGCTCACTGTAGAGAGCAATACTCTTCTCTCTGTCTTTAGTGCTATTTGGAGAAATGGTCTGGGTCTGTCAGCTGGTACCTGACAGAGATATTCACTGTTTTGAGACCCCTCGAGGTAGCCTTGGCTGAGCTGTTGTTGAAATGACTGTGGGGACCCCGTGGTCCAGAGCCTCAGATTCCTAGATGTATTTACCATAGTGTTACATAAAAGTCAGGGGTCAAGTTATTTCCCAAACGGAGAAGAGCACTAATCAACCATGTTTATCTTCAGAGACACCTAAATATGGGTTAGAAGTATCACTGTTTCTTTTCTCTCTGTTGCTTTTTTCCTCCTTCTTTTAAAAAATCTGGACGCCTCATCTTAGATCTTTTCTGCCTTTTCTCTTTTTAAATTCTCCATGTTATCCATTCTCTCTCTTCATTTATTTCTCTTTGACTTAGTGTAGCATACTACTAGTATCTACGCTAAGTATCTACTTGTATCACCCTCTGCCAGTGCCCACCAACCTCATTACCTGCCCTCAGAACCATTCTTTGCAGGGATTTCCCCATCCCGTGGCTCGTAAAAGGGAATTCTGGAACTGTACCACAGAATGAAGTATTGGAAAGCCTTCTTTAGGTGACATTTCATGGTGTGGCTGCAGATAAGTTAGCCCTGGCACCTTATTGATTAATATTTGCTAACTAATTATCAAACACTTGTGTTTGTATTATAGAAGTACAGTTTAAAACACAGCGCCTCCACGGAAATTATGTGTAATAGTAACAGTGCTTCAGGGCTGCAGCTTTCCCTTCCAGAACCACATGTCTGTTTCTCTTCCTAGGGGCTGTGTGGAGGCTGCGACCAAACCTCTTTCCAATGAGAAAGTTGTCCGACCAGCGCTCACCTACAGTCTCTTTCCCAACGTGCCTCCTACCATCTATTTTGGCACTCGGGATGAGAAAGGTAAACCTGGCAAGTGTGTGAGCCCAGGAGAGCCCCCGGAAGGATGCTAGTGAAAGAAGTTGGGAGCAGGTGGCAAAACGGTGGGGAGGGGCTTTCCAGGCAGCTGTGCTCGGTTCCCTGCCTGGTTCTCCGGACCGGTGTGGGGACCTTTTTCTTGTTCATCCTTGAGCTGATCCTTCTCAGCCCCATAATCTTAGACTTCGTTCTTGCCCTCTAACCTTGTTTCTTTCCCCTTTCAACCTCCCCTCCTTTTTGTGTTTCTCACTCCTGTGCATCCCCCTTTCTTCCCCAAAGTGTACTCCTTTGAGACTCAGATCACGAACCATACTTAGTGACTTTTCTACCCAGCGAAGGTTGAGCAACAGTGCCATCTTTCCCTTCGTCTAACCATGACTCTTCTGCTCTTCTCCATGCCCACTGTCCCCAGTGGAGAAGCTTCCCTGGGAGCAGAGGAAGCTGCTCCGGTGGAAGATGAGCACAGTGACCCCCAACATTGTCAAGCAGACCATCGGACGGTCGCACTTCAAAACCAGCAAGAGTGAGTCACTCGTCTTACTGTGAGCCTGTGCTCAGCCCCAGCAGATGGGCAGGAAGAGAACCCTAGGTACCTCCTGCAGTGCGGGGATCCTGCCTTGAGGTTGCCGGCCTTATAGGAGGACACAGCTCTGAACTCCCTCTGGACTAGAGCTTATTGCTCAAAATTGCAAGAAAGGGGGCCATCGTTCAATCCCTGACCCCGGGGCCTCATGTAGGACGGCTCCATGGTGCCTCTTAGAAAAGAGGGTCTAGGAGCTATGCCCAGGCCCAGTGGTATTTCTGGGGCCTCTGGGCCTCTCCCTCCCAGGGCCTGACTCCCCGATGTCCCTTCTATAGGAAATGATGACTGGCTGGGCTGCTGGGGTCACCACATGAAGTCTCCCAGTTTCCGATCCATTCTGGGGCATCAGAAGGTAGGGGCCCCTCCCGGGGCGTTCTTCAGGGCTTTGTTCTAGACAGGAGGAGACTGGTATTGGGGGAGGAGCTGGATGGCACAAAGTCAGGAGGGCTCACAGAGTGGACAGTGCACAGGAGAGGGGGCAGCGTGAGACCCTAGCAGCTCACATGCGCTTAGTGGTCCAGCTGCAATGACGTGGGTAGTCGCAGCCTCTCAGAGACACTTTATTCTCTAATGTGTCTTGAGATGCAGTGTCTGTTATTATGTTTCTCCTGTATCCGATACACCTTTGCTCCCTTCCTCCCTTCCTCCAAGCCAAATATCTGTAAAGAGGACTCTGGTCTCACATTGGAACAAATGGTGGGCCCCTTTCCCTTCTCCTCACTGAAGGCCAGGCACTTTTCTGTCTTTGTCCTGTAGGCTGTCATGGAAACAGCTTTTTCTTTGCATTCAAGGTGGATATCATGTCTTCCTTAAGCAATGTTATGTGTCATGAACTATCAACTCCTAGAAGTCACTAAATTTCATTGTTTTGTTAGTCTTTTAATCATCTGTTGGTGAGTGTTCAGCAGCTGAATACTTGAGGCCCTGGGACAGTGATAACAAGATGAACAGGCACTGAGGAAGTTGGAATGGGATAGTGTGTCCCACCATCTTCCTCGGGGTCTTACCTGGGTCCTCTCCCTGCTCTCACCCTTTGTCCCTCCGGTAGCTAAACCACTTCCCGGGTTCATTCCAAATTGGGCGGAAGGACCGGCTGTGGCGGAACCTATCCCGCATGCAGAGCCGCTTTGGCAAGAAGGAGTTCAGTTTCTTCCCCCAGTCCTTCATCCTGCCCCAGGATGCCAAGCTCCTGCGCAAAGCCTGGGAGAGCAGCAGCCGCCAGAAGTGGATTGTTAAACCAGTGAGTGGGTCACAGTGGGGTGGTAGGCCATTGTCTGAGAGCGAGAACAACAGAGTATAGGCCACGAGCAAATCTCACCTCCTTTGCACTTGACTTCTAGCCAGCATCCGCTCGAGGCATTGGCATCCAGGTCATTCACAAGTGGAGTCAGCTCCCTAAGCGAAGGCCCCTTCTGGTACAGAGGTGAGTCTGTCTCCAGCTCAGATCCCACTCCCCACCCTATTTCTCATTTCCTCACCCCAAAGGTTCCCTTTTTACCATGTTTTTGAGTCCTTTGTCTGCCCAGCCAAAGACCATCCTCGGCCAGGTGTTTTTGGTCTTCATCTCAGGGACTGTTGGCTGGCTTTTGCCGTGGCTCAGTTACCCGCTGAGCCCTGTCCCATCTGTCGTGTTCCTGAAGCCAGCCTTTCCCTATGTAGGTATCTGCACAAACCCTACCTCATCAGTGGCAGCAAATTTGATCTGCGCATCTATGTTTACGTCACCTCCTATGATCCTCTGCGGATTTACCTCTTTTCAGATGGGCTCGTCCGCTTTGCCAGTTGCAAGTATGTGGCAGTGGTGAGGTGTCACCCTAACAGTGTTGGGGATTTGCTTTCCTGAGAGGAGGGGAAACCAGAGGAAACCACAGAAAAATAACACACGTTTTGGTAGTTTCTGTTAGCGTGGAAGATGGCGGAGTATATTTGGGAAAGCCCAGTCTTCCTTTTCTCCTCTGTATCTCCTTTTACACAGAACACCTTGTTCCTGACACATCTGATCACCAAACATATGGGGTTTTTTCCCTACACCAAGCTAATCTCTGCTCTACTAGCTGGGTGTTGCACAGTGTAGCTCAATTCTGATACCGTCTTTCTGGATATAGCATCAGACCCCATAGGTTAAAGGCTCAGCATCGTGAGACTCCCCACTGCCCACTGCAGATGCTAGTCATGAGATGCCACGTGTGCTTCTGACCCAGCAGCTGTAAACCAGAAATTTCCATGACCCCCTCCTAGGGTTCTGTTAGCTGGGTAGGGTGGCTCACAAAACTCAGGAAAATGGTTGGTTTATACTTACTGGTTTATTACAAAACAGTATAAATAGGATACAGATGCACATCCAGATGGAAGAGGTGTACAGGGCAAGGCACATGGGAAGGGAAGCTTTCGTGCCGTCTCTGGGTGCACTGTTCTCCCACCCCCTCCATGTGTTCACTTACCTGGACACTCTCCGAACCCCGTACTTCTAGGACTTATGGAGGCTTTATCACAGGCCTCGGTGGCTCATTCACTCCATCTGCAGCCCATCTCCCTTCTCAAGAGAATGGGGGGCCAGGCTGAAAATTCCAAGCTTCTAATCATGGTTTGGCCTTTCTGGTGACCAGCCCTCATCCAAAGTCTCCTCATAGGAATAAAATACTCTGTTACCCAGCACACCACAAGGGTTTTAGGAGCCCTGTGTCAGGAACCAGGGCCAAAGGCCAAATAGTAGAACAGAAGGTGCTCCCAGTGCTCTTAACACTTAGGATTTATGAGGGTTTCAGGAACTCAGGAATTGGGGACAAAGACCGATATTTATGCATTTCTTATTATAAATCTAATAGCACATGAGGAAGGAGAGATAAGGAGGTCCTCGACTTCACTGAATCTCACGGAGGGTCTGGTGGGACTGAGGTGGATAAAGGGGAGGAGTTCAGCTGTGGTTCTAGAAACCTTCCCAACAGACATACTCTGAGGCTCTCGTGCATCTGAAAGGATCTGCCTGCTTGTCCTTCACCTCCTCAGGATTTGGGGAGACGTTTGGACCATTGTCTGACTGCCGTCTCACCTTCTTACCTCTGCCTTTCTCCTCCCTACTTGCAGGTACTCCCCTTCCATGAAGAGCCTCAGCAACAAGTTCATGCACCTGACCAACTACAGCGTCAATAAAAAGAATACTGAGTACCAGGCAAATGCGGATGAAACAGCCTGCCAGGGCCACAAATGGTACCAGACAGTGTCCCCGTGAAGTAGAGACCTAGAGGAGCATGGGGTTCTGGGGTCTGGGGAGGTTCGGGGAGACGGTGAATGGAAGATTAAAATGAGACTCAAAGATGATATAAACACTTGGCAATTCAAGTTGGTCTGTTTGTATCCAGGCTCACCTCTGTCTTTATTTAAAACATCATAAGAAGAGATATGAAGAAAATATTTTTGTGCTGCTTATTTCTTTTTTCTCTTCATCACTCAACTCATAGACTACAACTCCAAATACTCCCACCGCCCCTTCCATGTTGCAGGGCACTGAAGGCTTTATGGAACTACCTGAGCCAGAAGGGAGTCAATAGCGACGCCATCTGGGAGAAGATAAAGGATGTTGTTGTCAAAACCATCATCTCGTGAGTCCCACGCTGGTGTGGGGCCTGCCACTAAATGCCCTCTTTTCTCATGGGTCCCACACTGCTGTGCTCTAGACTTTTGACTGAGCTGTGGTTCAGTTTCTGAGAATAGGGAGGAGTGGACAGAATTAAATGCTGCTCTTCTCCTGAAACCCATCCCTAGAAGCAGTCCCCAGATCAGAGGCCTCTCTTGAGAGCTGCTTTTTTCTGGGTTGCTGCTGCTCTCCCATCTTTGGGCCACCCCACTGGCGGGGCAGCTCTGGGTAAGGCCCTCCTCCTCCCTGTGGCCAGGTCGGAACCCTACGTGACCAGTCTGCTGAAGATGTACGTGCGACGGCCCTATAGCTGCCACGAGCTCTTTGGTTTCGACATCATGCTGGATGAGAACCTCAAGCCCTGGGTCCTGGAAGTCAACATTTCCCCAAGGTGGGTGGTGTTCTCAAGGCACTGACAGTAGGACCCTTTCTTTAGCCTCCTGGTCCTGTTTCCTCTCCAGTCTTGCTGACTTTGGGAAGACCTTTCCCTCGTTAGAATTTGTGTTTTCCCTTCACCATCCGTTTGTTTGCTCATTTACTCGTTCTGTGCCATTATCTCAGGGGTTTTTGTGGATGAAGAGAATTGTTTAAAATTGTTCTTTTGGCCTTGGCCGGTGTGGCTCAGTTAATTGGATATCTTCCTGTATACCAGACATTTCCCAGTCAGGGCACTTACCTAGATTGCGGGTTCAATCCCAGGTCAAGGCACATATGGGAGGCAACCAATAGATGTATTGCCCCTCTCACATCAGTGTTTCTTTCTCTCACTATCTCTCTCTCTCCCTTCCACTCTCTCTAAAGTCAGTAAACATTAAAAAACGTTTTTTAATCGTGTTTTCAACTTGCTGCCCCCACTTGCTCTCCCCTGGTGAATGGAGGTCATGGGCAAGGACCACCCTGAGTGAGGTTATTCACTGTCCGTGGGGCAAGAAGACCCCATGGTGGTGCTCACGAGTTTGAGTGTGAGAGCCCGTTGAGCCTCGGGAAGCCAGAGAGTAAGTGGGGCTAGCACTGACTTGCACATGGGATGGGAACCAGTTTGGAGTGTATTTTTAGCACTCTTTGCATCCTTTCTCGAAGCCTCCACTCCAACTCTCCGTTGGACATCAGCATCAAAGGCCAGATGATCCGTGACCTTCTGAACCTGGCGGGCTTTGTCCTGCCCAACGCCGAGGATAATTCCAGCTCCAGCAGTTCCAGCAGCTCCACCACCAGGTCAGCCTCCTCGCTTCTCCGTGGCTTGGCTGGCAGCATGAACAGCCCCGTGATGAGTGTGAGAAGGGATGGTGCCGGGCACTCCCACCTGCTTGGTCTCCTTTGCTGCTCCACTTGCCCCGTAGATGTGTAGTCTGCCCACACACCTCTGTCACCTCTGTGTCCCTAAACGCACATTTGGTTATGCTGCTCACCCACTCAGGAATCTACAGGGTCTGGGGACTCAGCTGTCAGCTCTTCTCGTGGATATTCAAGGCCCCAGCCTCATTTTCCCAGGCACCCCTCCCTTCACCCCTCTTCTGCTTCCTATGCTCTGACAAACCAGATCCCCCAAAGAACCTCAAGGTTGGAAGGACCCAAGAGATCAGTTAAGCCAGTCTCCTCTCTGACATGTTTGTTACCTCATTGTTTCCTCATAGTGTCCCCTCCTTGGCTCATGGTTTTTCTTCCCCTTGAAATTCCCTGCAGCCAGACCTCCCTATTTTGACTCCTTCCATCCATCAAAGCCTAACTCAAGGTGATGTAGTTACAGAGCCAGCCCAGTGGGCTGTCTCCTCCATACTCCAAACCACTTGGAACCCCTCTTGAGGGAGGGGAGCCAGTATTTAGCCGGTACTGCTGTGTGTAAGGAAAACCTGAAACTTATCCCCACAACAGCCCCATGAGGCTGATACTGGCATCCTTGGTTACAGAAGAGGAAGCTGAACACCACTGCAATTAAGTAGCCCATCTAAGGTTATTCAGCCACCAAGGGGTAGAGCTGGAATTCAATTCTGAAGTTGCCAGTTGCAAAACTTGTTTCCCCACCATACTTTAGACTCACGTGTGGCTCTGTGCTATAGCCATTCAGCATTCGACACCCGCCATCCCATGATCTCCCAGGAGGCCGTGTTTGTGTCTCTCTCAGTAGTATTTGCAGTGCTGTGGATGATGACACTGAGGTGCAGGGAGGTCAAGAAATTTGTCCAGGATCACACAGCCATAGGGTTGAGCTGGCTATTTAGTAAGTGTTCACTAAACTGAAGTATGCAGCAGTTATTCCAGGGTTTCTTTTTTTTTCTTTTAACTTTTGAAATACAACCTAAAGAGAGCACGTTGTACTCCTTAAGTTCTTCCATGGTGCTTGCTTTGACTTTCAAGGAGGCTGCCTGAATGGAGTATATTGCAGTCCAACCTTCTCAAATAACATCTGTCCATGTTTCTTTGTCTCATTTTGAGAAGGCTGTCTTCCTAGGCTGGACACACTTTCCACACATCCTCGGTTTGTGAAACTGCTGATCTTACCCTTCCCCCCTTCCCGCCCCCTTCCCTAGCCTGCCCAGCTGCCCCAGGGACAAATGTCGGATGGCCCCGGAGCAGTTCACTGCACAGAAGTTGAAGAAAGCCTATTACCTGACCCAAAAAATTCCTGATCAGGTAGGAGATTACCTCCCCAGTGCTAGCCGAAAGCTTCCCTGTGCAAGCATTTGGAACCCCAGGGCAACCATTTTTTCTCCTGCCTAGGGCAGAGTTTGCTAACTCAGCTCCACAACCTCCTTGGCGTGCAGAGATACATTGGCATGCATGTCATTCTAGGAGAGAAATGGTGGCCTTTACCATGTGTACAAAAACCACCGCTCTCGGCAAAATGCTCCACTAGCCCACCTTTGTCCTCAGAGCTGTGGACCCTTGGGGTTTCTTTCCCTGAGGTTCAGTGAACCCCTGGACGGCTTGGCTCCAGTCAGATGAGCGAGCCTGGTGGAAGAGTGGCAGACACGGGCTGTTGCCACATCTGAGTTGCTGGATTCTGATACTGATCTCATCCCACAGATCACTTAACCTCTGTGCCCCGGTGGCTCCCCTCGCCCTGACCCAGAGTATCTTCATCCCCCAGCTAGGCTCAGTAGACTTGGGAACAGATGAGGTCCAGAGCTGACCATCAGGCCGCCTTGGTGGTCCCCCGAGAATCCCGGGGCTCTGTGACCCTAGTTGTCCTCCCTGTCCCCAGCTTCTTCATTCTCTGCCCATGGCTTATATATCCTTTTCATCCCTATTCCTTGGGCTGTAGGACTTTTATTCGTCTGTGCTGGATATCCTGACACCAGATGACGTTCAGGTTCTGGTCCAGATGGAGGATGAGTTTTCTCGCCGGGGTCAATTTGAACGAATTTTTCCTTCTCGAATATCTTCTCGATATCTCCGCTTTTTTGAGCAGCCACGATATTTCAACATTCTCACCACCCAGTGGGAACAGAAGTACCATGGCAACAAGCTCAAAGGTGATGTGTCCTCCCTGCCCACAGGAAGGGATGTTTAGTGAGAAATTAAATCTCTGTAGACCAAGAAATGGGCCTTCCTGGCAAGAAGAATTGGCCAATTGATTCCACCTTCTTAAGTCCCACCCCTGCTAATCTTGTCTTAGGAGTAGATCTGCTTCGGAGTTGGTGCTACAAAGGGTTCCACACAGGAGCCATCTCTGAGCCTGTTCCACTGGTGAGTGATGCCCTGGGAGGGAGGGGTCAGCTCCATCTCAGGCTCCTCCCTCCTCTGCCCAAGGAGTGCAGCCTGGGTTGGGCAGGTGTCCAGATGCTCTCACTTCTCCCTGAGGCCTTTCCTTGTCAAAAGGAATAGTTGGCTCTAGGATTCCCTGGGTACCTTTATTTCAATGGTCAGAAAGTGCTTTGTGGCCTCAACTTTTTGTCTGAACAGGGAGAAAACCAAGACTTTTTCCCATAGGGTCCCAGGCCTGGAGGGTGGGGGAGGGGAGAGCCCCATGGTCATCGCTCAGAGGCAGAGCTGGGAGAGAGTGCCCTGACCCCAGACAGCTCAGCCTCATTGTTTCCTTTGCTCCCAGTGGTCTTTCCCGACATCACCTCTGACTGTCCCAAAGGGTGACGACGTGACTCTCAGTGCTTCACCCGAGCCAGAGACTGGCATGCTGGGGTGAGTGCTGCCTGGGTGAGGGGCGGGTGTTGGGTGTGAGTTCAGAGACTTTTCAAAAATATTTAATTACAGTTGATGTACAATATTACATTAATTGTGTGAGTTTGGGGAGTTTCGTTCCTTTCTTTCTGCCCGGATTATGAGATCTGCCTGGTGGCTGTTGGGATGCCCAGGAAGCTTTGCTGAGCAGAGTCATCTGCAGAAGTGGCCACTTTTAGCCATAGTCACTAGCTGTAGGAAACCTATAGCCTCACACACATTCACACCTACACTGAAGCTCTCAAGCCTTCAGACAAATAAAATATATTTTACAGTCATTTAGACCTGCCTCTAATTGTGGTCTATAACACCATAATGTCACGAATGCCTGGTCCAGACTGAGGGCAGATCACAAGTTGAAGTCTCAGCCATTTCTTTGTCCCCGTTCCCTTCAGAAGACGCAGCTCTTCCGAGGGAATCCCACCGCTCTGTGAAGATGGGGCTCCACCCAAGCCCAGGAAGACCCACGCTCGCCTTTTTTTTCCTCTTCCCCCAGGAAACCTACTTCCTCAAAAGACAGCGAGGACACTAGCAACGAGCCCAGCCTTTCCACGCAGATCCTGCCTGTACACAAGTACTCTGGGAAGACTTCGAGATTCTCTGCTTCCCCCATGTCCCAGTCAACCGGTGACTCACTCCTGGCTGCTGTGAGCCCGTGACTGGCCTCTTTCACTAGCCCCTGCCCAGGAGCACCAGCGTTAGCTACCTCACAGGAACTGGCCTGCTGGCTGGCCCGAACCCCCACGCCCTCCACCTCACCCCTCTTCAGAGTATTTTTTGAAATGGATGAATTACAGAGATGGGTGTCCGGAGGGCTGGCAGGGTAGTGGGGGTGGGGAGGGGGTCAGGAAGGTTCACCGGATGGTACGTCATATCGCAGCAGAGAAGCCAGTGATGGCCACTCAGTCTTATAAAGCGGGTTTGGTTTCTGCCTTCAGAGAGCCGTGTGTGGTTTGTTGTAGGCCTCGGTGCACTGATCGAATTAGAGTTAAGGGGAGAAGACAGGCCTGAGGTCCTTTGAAACGGAGGAGGTTCCCCTGAAGGTTCGCATTTCCTCTCTCGTCGCCCTTTCTCCTTTCCCCGCCCTCTGTCCTGAGGAGCCACTTTCAGAAACCTCCAGACTTCTGCACACAGGGAGCGGCTAGGACGTGACGACACCGTTTCCTGTTAGGCTAGTCCTGCGAGCTTCCCCACCTGCAGACCATTTGTCTTTTCATAGATCCGCCTGCCAGTAGCCCTGGGTCTTCCTATTCTGACTTCATGTCACTGCTTGGTCAGCCTTCTAGACTTCTCAGTCATGGGCGTTACCTCTTCAGCTCTTGCTTTTCCGAGGGGAAGAGGCTCTGTGAACTTTGTGCATTTCCTACAGCCCCAGTGAAGGAACCTCGATAATGCCAGTTGGTTGCCTGTGTCCATATATGCGAGGACACATCCCTGTGGGAGTGTGGAGGGGACTGCGATTTCCCCACAACCCCCAGGAAGGCTCCCATTGTGTTTACTCCCTTTGCCATCTCTGATTGGGCTCACGGGTCACACGGACAGGCAGAGGCTGCTGCTGTGGCAGAGGGGTTCCAGGAGCAGTCACCATTGTAGGACGGGTTTCCAGTCGGACTGTGGGCTAAACTCTTGTACTCTCAACTGAATCTACCTCTCCCCAAGACTCAGTACAGCAGTGACTGTTGAATACATTTGACTGAGTGAACCATCCAGACAGATCTCCAAGGACACGAGCACCTGAGCCAGAAAGTCTACCCCTGGACTCCTGGGGCAGGGTGGAGTCCAGGGGATGAAAGGTGGGAGAGCTTGGATCAGAAAGGTGGTTTTCACTCGAGCTACACTGCTCCTCAGTTTGGCACTTCCTGGTTGCTGCTCGCCCCCTCCCTGGCCTCATGATCCCTTTACTTCATTTTTCTAGCTGCAGGGCTCAGCGGGAAGCCAACTGGCCCCTGTCTGTGACATCCAAGTTTTCCCCATTGCACATCAGGCAGAGGTTCACAGTCCCACTCTGGGCTCTGCCTTCATTCTCTGAGCCCCGGAAAGATGGAGGCCATCCTGTTTCATAGCTCCTGGAGTGCTGTGGCAAGCTGGGATGGAGCCAAGGGAAAGTCTCCAAGAGGCCTCACTAGGTAAGGCCACACAGGTAGGTGGCTGTGCTGGCCAGTGTGAAGGCCGCGTGGACAGTTGGGAAGGAAGCTCGGTGGCAGAGCGCTGGGGGCAGCTCCTGCTGCTCCATAGTAAGGACTTCAAGTTCAGGCCCAGCAGAAGTCACTGATGCCAACTCCCTCTTGTTCTACGTCAGTGCAGAAGTGTCACAATGAATCTTGTGTCGAGGACGGTAAGCAGCCTTCCTAAGAAAACTAGCCACCTGCTTAAGCAGTTTTGTCCTCTGGTCTAGGGCTTAGGTGTAGAGGCCTGCCTTCCCGAGCTGGTTTAGTCCTTGGAAACCAGCTTCAGTTCTTTGGCCTGCCTTTCAAGCATCCTGACAGCACAGCCAGGCCATCTCCATCTGTGTGGCTGGAGAGGGGACCGGCATTGCAGCGTAATGGAAATGCAGATGGGGCAGGCAGGACTTAGGAAATCAAATGACTGATGAAAATAGAGTGGCCTTGGTGTAAGATCTGTTTATACATACATTGTTTTTAATTTTCATCACATTTGAGTATCCGATAGATGCGTTTTGCTGGGTGGGAGGAGGAATGGGGCTTATGTATCCTATTTCCATTTCACCCTTGACAGAAAATTAAATCTTACTAAGCTTTCTGCATACTTACTTAGCAACACCTACCCACAGGATAAGGAACTCAGCTAAATAAGGAATTTTGGAGAAGTAGTGAGGTTTCTTTGAAAGTTTAAATTTGGGATTGTAGTAGAATAAATGTCAAAACATGTTGGTGGTTTTCCTAAGTTGATAACTCACCCAGTCCCTGTTTGGAGAAAGGGGCATGCAGTACGGAGTATTTCTGGAGCCCTGGAGTGAGGATTCGGGGTAGCGGGCCAGGCGGGTGGTCACTGTTGCTGTGTGCTGTAGACTGACCCAGGGTGGGTGACAAACTCAGCGACTCCGAGTGAACAGCGGTGAAGAGATGGCACCGTGCTGAGAAACGAGCCAAGCTGACCTGGGTTCAGAGCTCAGTCCTGCCACGTGGCCTCAGCTGCTGTTTAACTTCTGCGTCTTTTTAAAAATAATATGAATATAATACCTACACTACAGGATTGTGAAAATTAAGTAAAACAGTAAAATGTTACTTAGGACTTAAGAGGGTACTTACTTGATGGTTACCCCTCCCTTCCCTTGCTCTCCAAAACCTGCTTTGGGTAGGGAAAGGCAGGTGGGAGGTGTGAAAGCCCAAGGGAAGCAGCCGCGGAGCCTTTTGGAGGCAGAGAAGTCCCAGAACAGGGTTGAGACGCCTCATCACCCCCACCTTCACCCCAGAGCACACAGAAACACTGCCATTCGTTCTGTTTGACTCTGCGTTGGGGATTTATTTCTTTGGTTAAATATTTCACATAATGCAAACTCCCTGCAGTGAGGGAGCATATTAAGCATTAGAAGTATGGAAATTGAATGAAATTATTGTCTTACCCCAAGAGAAGCTTTGATTAAAAAAACAAAACAAAACATCAATGGGTGCCCAGTGACTGGAAAAGGGAGGAGCCTGGTAAAGAAAATAGAAGAGACCTTGAACTCCAGCTAGAGCTGTAGAACAGATGCACCGACCCAACAGCTTGCCAAGGGACAGTTGTCATTGCAGATTTGTTCTTGTGGTTTCAATTAGTCACCCAAGCCAAAGGGCGCACCTGATTGCCTGCTGGGGCCATTGAACACTGGGCCAGTGAAGGAGGTTGATAATTCGGGTACACAGTTCATTCCACTTCCCACGTCAACTGAATTATTTACCCCAAAGCAGCTAGAAGACCTCCCCTGCTGGCTTCCTCTGGGTTTGTCCTTTAGGACTAAGGCTCTGCTGTCCACTGTTCAAATGCCCTGACTGCTTTGAGGCTTAGAAACATCGATGGTTTTCAGTTATGTGGCTAATAATGCTCTATTTCATGCCGCTTGAGATTCTGATCCAGCCCTCGAACAACCCTTGGCCTCAGAGCCCCTCCCCTCTAAGAGTTTGCACCCGCACTGATGTCAAGGCTTATTTGACTTGGGCTTTCATCAGCTCCGGAGCAAGAAAAGCTGCCAGGCAGTCTTTGTGGAGTTCTTGGCAGATGCCGCATGGGTGAAAGAACGCAGGATGAGCGGTAGTGGGGTAGTTGTTTTCACAGTCTGTCTGTGACTTTACTGTGTAATAGACTGAGACACACAGAATGCTAGGGCCTGTCATGGCAAATGCCAGCCCAATTTTGAAAAGATTTGATCTAAGTTTCAATTAGTAAAATGGGGAGATCAAAGCCTACTTTGTAGGATAGTTAGAAGAGTTACATAGAGGAAAAAAGTGTGAAAAGCACCTAGAAAAAGTGCCTGGTATGTAGTGCAGATTTTAAATAGATTCTAAAACTGACAAAATTAGTAACACCACCAAAAACATTTCTTCCTAAAATAATTATAATAGCACATTATAATTACAATAGCATGTTACTATTATATAAAACCATGATAAAATATACTTTGATTCTGTCCATGGGATTTCAAACATGATTTAATCAAGATAGCTTTGAAAGGTTGGAACCCTAATATTGTCAGGGCAGTGCAGTGAAAACTATAATGACAGGTTCAGGCACTTTGGGTATGTGCTTGGCTAAGGAGCCAATGGGGTGATGGGTACCATCTGCAAGATTATGCCTGAATTTCTAAGCCAGCATCCACCAAGGCAGAGTGATAGGGCAGTGCGGCTGAACTTGGGTTTGCTGATATCCCACTGTTCCTGCAGGCAGGTGGCCGAGTGCCCCCAGGTGGTGCGGGTACATGTTGCCAGAGTCCCGAGCAGAGGGCCTCTCCAGAGAAACAGCCCAGTTGCAAAGGGGGCTTTCCCCTCACCTGTCACGCAGTGCACATTCTTGGAGAGCCTAGTGCTAAACCTTGGAAGAAGACCTGCTTCTGAGTCAGGGTTGCTATGTAGCAGAGCTGCCCCCTCACTGTGGTCTATTGAAAGCCAGCCCTCAACACTGGGGTTTGAAGAGGGGGAAAGGGACCAAAAAAGCAAAGAAAAAAATGAGAAGAAAAGAAAAACGACAAGACACCATTTACACAATAGAATTGCTCAGAAAAAGATTGAAAATAGGAAGTAACTGGACCACGTATATTGCTGGTGGGAATGCAAAATGGTACATTAGAATACAGCTTAGTTTCTTACTTTTATTTTTTAAAAATATGTTTTATTATGCCATTACAGTTGTCCCATTTCCCCCCTTCATTCCCCTCCACCCTGCACACCCCCTCCCCCCCACTTCCCCCTTTAGTTCATGTCCATGTGTCACAAGTTCTTTAGATTCTATATTTCCCATACTATTCTTGCCCTCCCCCTATTTATTTTCTATCTACTGTCTATGCTTCTTATTCTCTGTACCTTCTCCCCCCTTCCCCTCCTCCCACTCCCCTGTTGCTAACCCTCCATGTGATCTCCATTTCCATGGTTCCACTCCTGATCTAGCTGTCCTCTTAGTTTGCTTTTGTTTCAGGTGTGGTTGTTAATAACTTTGAGTTTGCTGTCATTTTACTGTTCATATCTTTTATCTTCTTTTTCTTAGATAAATCCCTTTAACATTTCATATAATGAGGGCTTGGTGATGATGAACTCCCTGAATTTGATCTTATCTGAGAAGCACTTCATCTGCCCTTCCATTCTAAATGAAAGCTTTGCTGTGTAGAGCAATCTTGGATGTAGGTCTTTGGATTTCATGAGTTGAAATACTTTTTTCCAGCCCCTTCTTGCCTGTAAAGTCTGTTTTGAGAAATCAGCTGACGGTCTAATGGGCACTCCTTTGTAGGTGACTGTCCCCTTATCTCTTGCTGCTTCTAGGATTCTCTCCTTGATTTTAATCTTGGCTAATGTAATTATGATGTGCCTTGGTGTGTTCCTTCTTGGGTCCAAGTTCTTTGGGACTCTGTGAGCTTCCTGGATTTTCTGGAAGTCTATTTCCTTTGCCAGATTGGGGAAGGTCTCCTTTATTATTTGTTCCAATAAGTTTTCCACTTGTTGCTGTTCTTCTTCCCCTCCTGTACCCCTATAATTCGGATGTTGGAATGTTTAAAGATGTCTTGGAGTTTCCTAAGCCTCTCCTCATGTTTTTGAATTCTTGTTTCTTCATTCTTTTCTGTTTGGTTGTTTTTTCTTCCTTATGGTCCACTCAGTTGATTTTAGTACTAGTTTCCTTTCCATCACTATTGGTTCCCTGTGTATTTTGCTTCATTTCACTTAGTGTAGCCTTCATTTTTCATCTAATTTGAAACCAAAATTAACCAGTTCTGTGAGCATCCTGGTCACCAGTGTTTTGAACTGTGCATCGAATAGGTTGGCTGTCTCTTGGTCGCTTAGAAGTATTGGCTCTGGGGCTTTGAGCTGTTCTTTTTGGGCCATAATATTTTGGTCTGTTTGTGCCTGTTATGCAAGAGGGGCGGAGCTTGAGGTGTTCACCAGGACAGGGCAACCCAGGTGGCTGGGTGGTGATGCTGTATGTGGGGGTGTGGTCAGAGAGGGCCAATGGCGTTTTTTCTGCTTTCTCTTGGATTTCTGTCCCCTCTGCCCCTTCCCACAAGCAAATTGGGTCCTTCTGGTGCTGGTTCCGGGTGGGTGGGCTTGTGCACCCTCCAGGACCCTGTGGGTCTCTCCAATGAACTCTTTGTGAGCCTGGGTGCCTCTCCCGGCACCTCGACCCCTGGAAGTTTTTCCAACTGGTGCTTTTAGGCTCTATATATCCTGGCACTGGGGCCCTGTGTTGCACCGTTTGTCTGTCTCACTGTCTGTTTTTTTGCCTGGTTTATCTGTGTGTGAATGTGTGACCACGGTCAGCCAGCCCCCTTATGCCCTCACTGGATCTGCCTGTTGCCACCCCGTGCCTGGGATCTGCTAACCACCGCCTGGGCGCCTGGGTCAGTCCAGCCACTTTTTTTCTGCCACGATCCCTCTCCGCTGGCTGCTGACTCTGCCCCTCTTACTGGTCTGGATGAATGGTTCATTGTTGTTGGACTTTGGCACAGCTCAATTTTCTCTTTGCTGTTTTTTCTCTTTGTTTTTGTTGCATTCTGGTTTCTAAATTTTTGTTGTTCATAAACTTGCTTGTGCAATGAGGTATTTCCACCTATACCTCCATCTTGGCTGGAAGTCCGAAAATAGCTTAGTTTCTTTTTTTTTAAATATGTTTTATTGATTATGCCATTATAGTAGCTTAGTTTCTTATAAAGTGAAACATACTCAAATATGATGACCCCAAAATTTGCTCTTGCATGTAAATGTTCACAGATTTACTCATAACAGTAAAACTTGGACACAACCCCAATATCCAACAACTAGTGAATGAATAAACATTGTGATACACCTGTTCAATACCACTTAGGTATAAAAAAGGAATAAACCTATACATGTAACAACATGGATGAGTCCCACCATTATGCTAAGTGAAAGAAGCTAGAAACAAGATTACATATTTTATAATCCCACTAACACTCTAGAAAAGGCAAACTAGTGACAAAAAGTACATCAGTGGATGCCAGGGACTATATATTAGGGAAGGGACTGACTATAAAGCGGGCACTGGAAATAGTCTATGTGTTGATTGTACATTTATCCAAAGTCATCAAATTACATACTTAAGATGGGTTTTATTGTATGTAAGTAAACAGTTGGTTTTCTAAAAAAGAACAAAGGATATCATTTCATGACACATGCAAATTAAAACCACAATGAGGTTAACACCA